GTAGTTTTGTCTTCTACGGCTCGTGTCTTGTACCCTCTATCCTCTTTGCTCCGTGTCTGATCGAGTAATAAACGATCTCAAATATAAAACATGCAGTAAAAAGTAAAAGAGCAGTGTCGGCCACACAGCGGCTCACAGACTGTTGTCATGGAGACAGAATGGATGTGCAGCATGCGAGCGATCCCGTGAGCACAGCCAGCTCTTTTTTCTTCCTGGAGAAAAACACTAGGTGGACACGAGGCCTCATCACTATACCTTTTATTTTATTATTATTTTGTATACATTTTCTTTCCATTAATATTTATATAAACTGTATATTGACTTATTTTTTTAGTTTTAGTTTGTTTTCTCTTTGCTTCCCACTCAGCTCCTCTCTTCGATGCATCACACTGCCACACACACATTCACACATTTTATAATACACTACCTCAACATAAAAGTTACAGCTTGACTTTCACCATATCTCATTTAAATGTATTTGCCCGTATTGTTGTGTTGTATCTTTGCTAATGTGGTTTAAAGAGTTTTGGACAGCGATGTAGTGGAACTAATAACAAGAAGATTGTCTTAGAGATTTCACTTCAAGCTGCAGGAAGAGAAACAAGACTGTTTTCTGTGTTCCTGCTCTGAAGAAGCTCCGCCCCCTCACCTGTCTCACCTGAGACAAACCAGGAAACAGGCTGTTATTCTGCCTCACTCTGAAGAGACACACACGCTGACAGACGGACCGACCTGCAGACACAAACCAGCACGACTTCCACTGAGAGAGGACAGGAGGAGGAGGGGATACTGGGAGTACTTGTTATACTGGGATACTGGGAATACCAACACTTCAACCTGCTGCTGAATCCACAAACTGAACGTGAGTTTCAAAGAAAAACAATCAAAGTGAAAGTAACTCTGAGGGACGGGGAGTGGCTTCCTGTTTTTTCTGCTTGACTCTGAGATAAAATGGCGTCCAAGTTAGAGGAAAATCTGAGCTGTCCGATCTGCCTTGAGATCTTTAAAGATCCAGTGATCCTCTCCTGCTTCCACAGCTTCTGTAAAGACTGTCTGCAGAACTGCTGGAAGGAGAAGGAGAACAAGGAGTGTCCAGTTTGTAAGAGGAGACATTCAAAGGATATCTTACCTTCTAACTTTGCTTTAAAGAACCTGTGTGAGAGTTTTGTGCAGGAGAGAGATCAGAGAGCTTCAGAGGATCTCTGCAGTCTGCACTCTGAGAAACTCAAACTCTTCTGTCTGGACCATCAGGAGCCGGTGTGTGTCGTCTGCAGAGATTCAGAAAAACACTCTGAGCACAGATTCAGACCCATCGATGAAGCTGCTGGACAACACAAGAAGAAACTTCAGGAAACTCTGGAGCCGGTAAAGAAGAAGTTAAATGTTTTTAAAGAAGTTAAAGTGAAGTTTGATCAAACAGCAGAACACATTCAGGTCCAGGCCCGACACACAGAGAGGCAGATTAAGGAGCAGTTTAAGAAGCTTCACCAGTTTCTAGAAGAGGAAGAGGAGGCCAGGCTGTGTGCACTGAGGGAGGAAGAGGAGCAGAAGAGTCAGAGGATGAAGGAGGAGATAGAGGCTCTGAGCAGAGAGATAGCAGCTCTTTCACACACAGTCAGAGACACAGAGGACGAGCTGAGAGCTGAAGACGTCTCATTCCTGAAAAACTACAAGGCTGCAGTGGAAAGAGTCCAGCAGCGCCCCCTGCTGGAGGATCCACAGCTGCCCTCAGGAGCTCTGATAGACCAGGCCAAACACCTGGGCAACCTGAGCTTCAACATCTGGAACAAGATGAAGGACATGGTCTCCTACAGTCCGGTCATTCTGGACCCAAACACTGCTCGTTCACGTTCAAACCTCATCCTGTCTGAAGATCTGACCTGTGTGACACAAGGAGAGAGACAGCAGCTTCCTGATAATCCAGAGAGGATTGATACTTACTGCTCTGTCCTGGGCTCTGAGGGCTTTAACTCAGGGACTCACAGCTGGGACGTCCAGGTTGGAGACAGTACACGCTGGACACTGGGTGTGTTAGCAGAGTCTGTAAAGAGGAAGGGAAACAAACTGTCTGGATTTTGGAGAATAGGGTTCTATGATGGTAAATACACAGCACACTCCTCATCACATCCAGTCACTGATCTCTCAGTGAAGAAGAATCCTCAGAGGATCAGAGTGAATCTGGACTGTAACAGAGGAGAGCTGTCCTTCTCTGATCCTGATACTAACACACACATACACACCTTCACACACACTTTCACTGAGAGGATGTTTCCATACATTAACACTGGTGATAAACTAAAGATTTTACCAGAGAAGATCTCTGTGACTGTGGAACACTAATACATGATGATGATGATGATGTTCTGAATCTTCGTCTCTGATTCTCTTAGGGTTGTGTGACTGCGTTGTCATGGTGATGGTGATGTTGTTTTATTAAATCATTCGTTATAACTTTGAGTATTTCCACAGCAGGTAAAATCTTGATCCTGATTGGTTGGTTTGTTGGAGTCTATTTAAAGATAATCTGCTCAGCGTGTTAACTGGTTAACTGTCATCTGTTGCTTCAGCTGCTGTGAACGTTTGATTTCTGACTTTTTCACTTGAACTCTAAGGAGTCCCTGAAGGCATCATCTGTATCTTTGTGTGCATTATGAGTTATTATCCTGCATGGAGAGAATAAAACAGTAATGATTATTATCTGATCTGAAATCACTCTACAGTTGTAGAATAATAACTTCAGATCATCACGTTTTCCTCTTCTTACTAAATCGTAGTTCCATCTTTAATCTTGTTGGTGTAGTCAGGGCTGTAACCAGGGTTTAGAAAATAGTGAGGTCCAGAATTCTTTCTGTTAATATATCGTATTCAAGGCATTTTGGGACATGCAAGATTCATGGCCAAATGATACCTTCAAATTCAACAGAAGCTAAACACCCAACCAACACAAACTCACACACACATTCACTTCCTGTATGTAAAGTGAATGATCTGTAGATCACGTGCAGCCCGAACCACGGTGGTTATCCAAACAGAGCATCCATGACATTCAAAAGTAAACATTTTAAGCAGCTTTCATTTCTTTTCCTGCATTCTGGTCAGTTTTTATTCACCATTTTTTGTTTTGTTTCTGCAGAACTTTATGATTCTTATCTCGTCTTTTTGTCCTTTTTGTGTCTTATGCACAATAATGAATGCATTCATTGAATATTTTATAAACATGTGGACTGGACAGTTGACTCTGCACTATTCCAGCCCTGCAAAGTTTCTGTTTACAAGTAGCCAATATGTAAAAGTGATATATAATTTAGTACGGCATTATTTTGTTTATGAACTTGTAAGAATGGCAAACTTGAACTTTTAAACAAAATGATCCAGATTGTGATTAATTTTCTGTGACAAATGGTCATACAGTGATCTTATCTTTGATGTTTGTTTGGTTTATTGTTGTTCTTGTTTTAAGAGGGGTTAGGACAGTTTGATGACTATCGCACAAGAGAGAGAGAGAGAGGGAGAGAGAGGAGAGAGAGAGAGAGAGCAGTTTTTTATTTTTCCTTACTTATTCTTCGGGGGCTCCAAATAACTCAACATTAATCCTGTTTTTAAAAGTTTGAGTCATTCTGGAGCTTCATTCTACAAAGGTATGGCTCCGTAGATTTGTTATCATGTTTGAAATGTCAAATATCAGACCTGAAGACTGTCTTTGTCAAAGCTTTTGTTCATGTTTCTTTACCATCTTCATCTTCAGTGGATGAAACGTCCTCTGAAGAATCCAAACTAAGAACGCTTTATGTTCTTTGAAAACAACAAAGAGTTCAAAATAAAGAGTCAAAATATCTTGTTAGTGTGAATCCTCTGTCACCTGTAATCACTTATCAATAAAGTATTTCTACACTTGATCTGAATCCGTCTTTATAACTCGTGTTGTGTGTTTTATTGATGCTTGTAAACGTCATCATGGACGACTCTTTCTCCTGACAGAATGAGTTTGTCTCTGTGATTAATAATAAAGTTATTCTTATTAAGTCAGGTGTTTCTTTAACTCCAGTCTGAACCTGCGACATGTGAAATCAAGTCGATCAGTGTCGTCTCTGACTCGTCCATCAGGTCGGACAGGAGAAAAGAAATGTCCTGAAGGGAAAGAGTTTGATTCAGAGATCCAACGAGCTCTGGAGAACACGGGTTCATTATTGAAGGTTAACCACCTGATGAACATCACATGTCAGTTATTGAACACTTTAACCGTTTGAAGATTTATTAGAGGAGGAACAGCAGCTCACAGCGACACTTAACCCCCTCCACCACGTTAAGCTGATGATTCTTGGAGGGAACATTCAAAATATTGATTGTAATTCAACGATTGAAACTTTATTCCTTTTTAGGAAATTATTAAAAATAAAAAACTGTTTAAAGAGAAGTTGAAGCTGAACTACGCAGGGTTTCTAAAAACTAGAATGATTTTGAAAGCAGCATTCCCTCAGTGCTCCGTCTGCACCCCCTCCCCTCTGTGCTCCCTCTAAAGCCACGCCCCCTCACTTACAAACGCCGTCTCTCCAGAAATGGACCTCAGCTCATCTCTTGCTTTGTGTAGAAACTACGTCGTCTCATGTCTCATTCAGCGGTCAGTAAACTCACAGTTTAAACTCCTAAAGTCATCGGAGTGTGAGCTAGAGCACGCAAGAGGTAGAGAGCGAGCAGGGAGACGGGGAGGCGTCTGATTGGTTCATCAGATTGGTACCTCGTGGCAGACATTGGTTGAAGTTTTTACAGACTTACAAACTGATACAGATGATGGATTTTCTTTGTTCCTTTTTCAGAGAACATGAGTTATTAATTTCTGTCAGGACCTAAAGACAATTTACACCAAAATCTGAAAAAAGTGGATCTGGAGGAAATGACCAACTGGACTATTTTAAAGTCCAGTTATAGTCATACTGAGACAATAAATCCACTTTTGTAAACATCATGTAAACGTACTGACTGATTCATTTTATCAAAGAGACTCTAGCTGGAAAAAAGTTTATTTGCTGTCATCGAAACCAACAAGAAAAAAAAACCACATATCAGTTACGTCTTATGAGTAAAAGAAGAAGTCCTGTTCATGTTGATTTCATTATCTCCTACACGGGTAGCTCCTGTAGGATTTAACACCATTTCCCATAATCCCACCTTTGTCACTAAAGCGTTAATCTATTCTCTTCAGCGTGCGTGGTGACGTGGCGGCGCAGGTGGCTGCTGGAGATGAAGGTCTTGCCGCAGTGCGAGCACCTGAACTGCTTGCAGTCCGTGTGCACGCTCATGTGGACCTTCAGGGATCCCGACTGGGCGAAGCGTTTGCCGCAGTGGACGCAGTTGTAGCGTTTCTCTCCCGTGTGCACCCTCTGGTGGCGTTTCAGGTTGCTGGGGTCGGAGAAGCGTTTTCCGCAGAGCATGCAGACGTACGGCTTCTCGCCCGTGTGGACCCTCATGTGGGTCTTCAGGTTCTTCAGGCAGGCCAGAGTTTTCCCGCAGTAGTTGCACACAAACGTTTTCCCGCGCTGTCCTCCCCGCTGTTACTGGACACCCTGCTCGCGGCGTCCAGATGTCTCCACGGTCCCGTCTGAGGAAAGCACTTTGCCTCTCTCTCGTCTCTTTTCTCGCAGGAAGCTGCAGCGCCATCTGCTGGTTGTTCTGTAAGCCTGCAGGCTGTCTGCACTCTGCCACCGGCGGGCTCAGCTCCCCGACGGTGAAAGAAACGCTGCCCGAATCGGACGCAGCTGAAACTCTCCCTCTGGTGTTCGACGCGTACGAGCAGCTGGGATCCTCTGGCAAAGGATTCTGGGTACTCATTGAGCCGTGCTGAAGCTGTGGCTCGAACATCAGACAGTCGAAGCTGCCGGTTTCTAAACTCTGGCTGGTGTTTGTCGTATTCTGGACGCACACTGAAGTGGAGCTGACTTCCTCGCTCGCCCAAGCTCGAGTAGAACCGCCACCTTCCTCCGTTACTTCCTGTTTAGTCAGCAGGGGCGGAGCTTCTGCGTCTGTCGTCTGTTCGTCAACAACAGGAATAAGATCTGCTGGAGAGAGAGAAAGAGAAATATCTTACCTTTCTTACATTTTCAGTGTTCAGATAAAGAGCAGGTGTAGTGCGTACCTCTTGTCACATTAGTCTCAGAGACTCATCATGAATCATAAAAAAAAAACGTCCTTTAAAGCCTCGCTCACACTGTGAGATTTTCCCCCGATCATATCAAAGTCGTGGTGGCACGTCAGCTCACACTGTACGACCTGATTGTCGGACACGTCCAGAGAGCTCACACTGTACGAGTGAAATTAGGACGGAGCGTTGACAGTTGTTAATAAAGTTTCATTTGAAAACCCCAACGGACGACGGCCGGTGAAAGAGAAGGAAGTGGAAGTTGTTGTAGGATTTAGGAAAGTTGATACAATCGTAGATATATGGAGACAAGTTTCAGAAAAGTGCTGCGCTGATGATCTGTACTGGAAAGTAAAAAAATAAAAGAAATGCCGTGTTGCGTCCTGCCGCTGGTCGCCATGACTACAGTCCTCCCTTGTCTCTCATGATTATATTGTAGTCACACACAACTTCTGCCGGACCCTTTCATGATGTAATCGTCAAGATTTTAAATTCTAAATATAAAACATGTTTGAAATAAATCGGGGCGTCCCCGACGATCACCGGCAGATCGGGGACGTTAAGATTGGATCTTTGGACCACTCACACTACGAGATAATCTGAACAGAGAATCGGGTCCGAGCAGCCTCGAGTCGGGAGAGACCCTGAGACTGTCAGGAAGAAGAATCAGAGCTCAACAACAGGGCCCTGGTAGTGCTGGGCGA